GTCGCGTGGCGTCTTATCAGTTTATGTCTCCTTCCCAACGCGCCACCCCCTGGCGCCATCACTTTATTTCTCCGTCTCTCTCCCTTCACCCCCCCCCGCTCTCCCTCTCTCTCTCTCTTTCTCTCCCTCTCTCTCTCTCTCTCTCTCTCTCTCTCTCTCTCTCTCTGTGTGTGTGCCCCCCTCTCTCTCTCCCTCTCTCTCCCACCCCCACGTCCCCACATGCGCAACACACACACACACCCACAGCCACTCCCACCGAAAAGGATGATAACTACTGTGTACGACCCAAGCTTCAGGAATATATTGCGAAATACACACACAAAACGCGCGCGCGCAAGCACGCACACACACTCACACACACTTCACCCGAAACATCCACCAGCCGCCAACTCCGCCCAGGCACTGGCGCTCCCCTCTTCCCAGAGCGTATTAAACCTATCTTTCATTTACGCCCGAAATTTTCTTATTCCAATTTCCCGTTGTCTGTCACCCAGTTGAAATGAGTCATTTTCTGATAAGAAAACGGCTTTGTGCGTCGGACTGGCAGCGAGCGCGGCGCGAGGGGAAAATGGGGCGGCGGCTCGGGCAAGGCTCGGGGCGAGCCGACAGCGACAAACGAGACGATACGAGAGTGGCGAAAAAGGTGCGGGGCCCAGATACTAGTGGACAGCTACTGTGCTGAGGGCGCGGACACACTACACAACTATGGGGCAGCGACCACTTAAAAAGTACAGTACCCAATTGCTCGGTAAAAATCAAGATCCGACATTTAAAGGAATTGCTTTTGAAGCTTTCAGGATAAATTGAAGACTTTTAGGCCAGAAACCCTCCCGATAAATTTAGAGGACATGAAAATGAACATGCCTCGTAGTCTCAATTTAATAAGGGGTTTTCCCCAGATTCATTGATAAACTAAGTGTTCAACTTGATTGAACGCTCACTGTGCAGGAAGTGCTCTGTGGAAGTTCCAAGTTCCATGAATGAGCCATAATCGCTAACAGCACTAATAGAGAGAAGTG